TATGTTTTGGAGGTAGAACTAATGAATTATTGAGGAAAAGAAAGGGATTGAGGAATCTTTAAAAAAAATTTTCCCTGAGCAATTGGGATTTTGGCTTTTGTCTTGAGTAACTAGTTGGTGAAAATAATGCCATTTTCTGAGATAGGAAGAATGGAGGAGTATGATGGGGGATGGGTGAACATTAAGGATACTGTTTGATCTATGTTAAATTGCGAATCGCAGTAGACTTCTAAGTGGAGATAGCAAATATCATCTTTATCTCCCTAGCACCTAGCACAATAGTAGGTGTTCAGTAATTATTTATAGCACGTGTAAAGCGGTGACATTTAAACAAGGTCCTGATGATTCTAGGAGGACAAGCAAGAGCAAAATAATGAAAGTGTAAAGAACATGGTGTGTTGGTCACACACAGTCTGGTTTGGCAGATGGCACAGAGTATGTATAAAATAATGGAGGAAAATAAGGCCAGAAAGTTCGCTTGTTGATCCCATCATTCATTCAACAAATGGCACCATTTAGGCATGGGGCTATGTCATCCAACAAAAAGACAAGGAAATTCTCTGCTGTTATAGAGCTTATGTTTGTGTGGCTGTGTGTGGGTGTGGTTGGGGACGGTGAGGAGATAGACAATAAACCCTAGATTAGTAAAATATATTGTATGTTAGTGTAGAAGCGAGGAGATATGCTGTGCAGATATCTGGAAGAGGCAAATAACAGAGGGAGGGAGCAGCAAATACACAGGCTCTCAGGTGGAAAGTCCCACAGGCCAGAGAGCAAGGGAACAGAGCGATCTCGGGGGAATTGGAGTAAGAGACGAATTCAGAGACATAAAAGGGAGCCAGATGGTGTAAGCTATTATAGGCCACTGTAAGGACTTTGGCTTTTACTCCGAGTAAGATGGGAAGCCAGATAAACTGTGGCTCAGCAATTTCACTCATAGGTACATATCAAAGATAAAATCTTGCCGTGTACAGGAATGTTCACAGCACAGCAGCGCTATTTATGATAGCAAAATTGTAGAAACAACCTAAATGCCTGTTAGTGGTACATTGGATGAATACATAGCCGCTCCATTAACAGGAGGGTAGATGAATAAATACAATGGAATACTATGCAATGGTCAAATCAAATAACCATAGCAAACCAGACAGTGTGGATGAATCGCAACAAAACAAGTCCCACAATGTTACATGTAGAATGATAGCCTTTTTTAAAAGCTAAGAACAATTAAAATAAAAATACACATATGAATACATACTTTACATACATCTGAAGAGAGAGTGATACACACACACACACACATTTGTACATATATAAATAAAACTGATAAAAGAGAAAGCAAGGAAGGGATGAATGGGATTCAGGATGGGGGCCACCTTGGGTGAGGAGAAGCAGTGGGTTGGGGACAGTGACTACTATATGGTTAGATAGGAAGTTATTGTCAGGGTCATGGCTTTTTATTTTGGGTGATGGGTTTGTAAGTACTTAGATTATTAAAAATAATAATTAAATAAAAGCAAACCACTCATGGACCAGTAAAGGTAAGTGATGTGAACCAAGGATAATGATTCTTTCATTTCCTTATAACTGAGTTCTAATTAAAGAAAAATATTATCCTCTGTACATAGCTGTATAAATAATATTTTTAAATATCTATAGCGATAGCCATCAAAAAGGTATACTCATAAATGTTGATTTGTTTTTCTTTTGGACTAGCTTTAGAAGGATTTCTTTTTTCCTGAGTTTTTATATGCTATTTAAATGGATTTTTTTTTTTTGGTGTTTGAATTTTTTTTTTGCTTAATTAGAAATATGGTTTCTGAAAAATTATCTAACGCACATCAGTTTCCTTTTCTGTTGTATTAAGAAAATGACTGAATTTTTTATAATGCTTCAATGTGATTAATTATTGTTTTAGAGGGCACAAAATGTTTGGCTTACCCTAGCCAGGTTTAGAACATATCCTGGAAATTGCCTTTTTCACTAAATTTGCATTTGTTTCTTTTGCTTTTTTCTTCTAAACGTCATGTTTCCCTTTGTCCCCACCTCATTCTGGTTAATGAAAATTTTATTTCTTAAGGTTTTGTTGTAATTTTGCACTCTCAGATTAATCTGGGTTTGACTCCAAGCTGCTCACATTATTGAAAGGTGCTAATTTATATATTTATTTAAATACCTACTTTGTTATAGATACTTTACTAAGTGCATCCTCATTAATGTAATCATCATAATGAAGGTATAATTACAAACTGAGATACATGCTCTGAAGCTGAGGGAAATGATCCTGGGAGAGCAAAAAGGACTTGATCCGCACTTAGGAAGTGACCTTTAAGCTGAGATCTAAGGGATGATTAGTAACCAGTTAAAGGGTGGGTAGGATTCAGGTTAGCAGGAGCAGCTTATAGGAGCTGTGGCAGGAGGAAGTGCAGCCTGACTCAAGTCAAAGAAACAGTGCGCTGCCGTGGTGGGACTCAAGGGCGATCCGGAACTACAGAGATGGGCAGGGGCCTGGTTAATTCAGGCCCTGGGAGCAACAGGGGAAATGCCTGAAAATTTCTAATTAGGAACCTGCTGAAGAACGATTCGTGTTTCGTAAAGAATGCTTGTGTAATGTCTGTCTATCGAAGACCTGTGGTATGCTTGGGAAAATCAGCTGCTAAATTTATTAGAATTTCATCCCTTCTTTTCTCTTATGCCCTAAAGATGTACAGAGCAGCCAAGTGATTGAGAATTCTGTTAATAAATCAGATTAGCCTACAGTGAGGTGGCATAGTAAGTGCCCCTGCTCTACACTATTCACTTTATTCAATTAGAGTTCGGTGCCCGTTAGGATGGCTTTTACAGAGCCTTTTCTTCTCGAGTTCTCAGTAAAATTCCCTTTCCACAGTTCATTTGAAGTACTCTCCATCTTATTCCTCAGTTATACTATGGATAGTTTATTTTATGTAAGTGGGGGCACCTTGTCATTTTTCATCCCGAAGACTGAAGATTGCTAGTGGAAATATTTGTTCTGAAAATCTGTAATCATTTTCAGTACTATAGCTTTAATATTTTACTTTTTCCAAGTGTTCATACATGATGTGTCCTCTCTTAAAATTTCTAATATGTAGTTATATCACTAACTTCCTGGCCATTTCCCCCTTCTCTTTAATAAGGAATAGAACTCGAACCACCATCCACCACATAGTTGATTTTGTGCACATTGATAAAATGTTCCCCGTCTGGTGGACTAATTACCAAAACTACTTAACGGGTGGCACCTGGGCCGCTTCTCTGCTCCTACCTGTGCCTTCCCCTGGTGCCTTGAAGCCATGTGAAAACCACACAGCTAGACTTAGTGGCCCTAAATATATGGGTAACTCAGTGTGAATTAGATGTTGCTCATGATCTATCAAACTATGGATAATCGTTTATAAGCAAAGCAAACCTATTTTAAAAAGTAGAACAATTGGTCATTTGTAGGTGTTAAATACAGTCGTCAGTTAAAACATTAATGTTATAGTTTTGCTTTTAAAGTTTTTGCTTTCGTAAAATTGTGTGTGTGTGTGGGGGATCGTAATAGTTTAGGAAAAGTTTTATTTTGTCCAATGGAGTTAATGTTCTTTGTTATTTTTTTAATGTGTTCAGCTTTGAGTACCTAGAAACATACAAATAAATAAATTTTATTGCTCTTGTCCTCTGTGGATTACTTTCACACATACATATGTTAATCTATTTAATTTTTTTTAATGGAATTTTTTTTTTTTAAGATTTTATTGGGGAATTGGGAGAGGGAACAGCATTGGGGAATCGGGGAAGAGGAACAGACAAGTTGCTGTCCTTTTGTTCTTCAGCCTAGTTGTGGAGGACGCCGCTTCACTGGCCCATGTTGGTATTATTATTGTGCTTTTCCCGGCTCAGGCAGATTGGTCGCTGGCCATTGGACGGCTGCTCACTGCGGCTCACAACAGCTCACGCTGGCTGCCAGCCACTCACGTAGCACACGGCAGCCCACTGCAGCCTGTGCCATCGCTGGCGACTCACGGCAGCCCAGCTCCAGGTCGAGCTGTTGTTTACCATCTTAGCTGTAGAGGGCGCAGTGTCACTGGCCCTAATGTGGGATCCGAACTGGGGCCCTGCTGCTCAGAGCTGGCAACACAAACCAACTCTTAACCAACGAGCCACTCGGCTGGCCCTATGGAAAATTTTTAATATGTACAAAGTAAAGTGATGAAGCCTCATGTATCTGTCATTCAGCTTCAACAATTGTCAGTGTATTGTTTTACCTGCTTCTTCCTACTTCTCCCACCTTAAATTATTTTGAAGCAAATCCCAAATATTATATATATATATATATATATATATATATATATACATATATATATATTTTTTTTCAAGATTTTTATTGGGGAATTGGGGGATGGGAACAGCGCTGGGGAATTGGGGGAAGGGGAACAGACAAGTTGCTGTTGTTTTGTTCTTCAGTCTATTTGTGGAGGAAGTTGCTTCACTGGCCCAAGTTGGCACCATCATTGCACTCTTCCTGGGTGAGACAGATCAGTCGCCCACTTCTGGACGGCCGCTCACTGCGGCTCCTGGCCACTCATGCTGGCTGCTGGCTACACACGGTAGCCCATGGCAACCCACTGCAGCAGGGGCTGCAGCCTACATGGTCGCCGGCGACTCACAGCAGCCCAGCTCCAGGTTGAGCTGTTTTTCAGCATCTTAGCTGTAGAGGGCAGTGTCACTGGGCCTCATATGTGGGATCCGAACTGGGGCCCTCTGGCGTCTCAAGCCATCTCTTAACCAACGCGCCACTCGGCCGGCCCCAGAAAGTAGTTTAATTTTGTAAAGCTCCATGTTTATAGCTTTCTGATTATTTTGATAACGTCATGCAATTTTTTGCAATCTTAAAAATATTATAAAGCACTAGAATATAAAATGGTAGCAAGAATAAGATATATGGGGTTCATTTTGGTTATAATAACTTTTTATTAACTTCTTTTGTATTTACGAAAAAGATACCAGGTGATCAGCACCCCAACAGATTTTTTTATGGTGATGGAATATGTGTCTGGTGGTGAATTGTTCGACTACATCTGCAAACATGGACGGGTGAGTAACACAGTATCTAGTATGATAATAAACTCCTAAGCTTAAAAAGAGGAAAGTAGTGGCAAATAGCAAGCCACAAAGATATTTTCAAAGCTGGGGTTGCTTTGGTAATAATGTTCAACTACACATACAGATTATTAGACATATTCTCTTTCTTAAAAAGTGCACCTTTTGAAATACTGATTTTCGGAAATCTATTTAATTGCTAACATGCCTATGCTTTTCAAAATGAAAAATCTGTTCCATGTTGAAGCTTCAATTATTTCCTTTTTTAGCACTTTCACTCAAGTTCTGGTTTAGGCTATGTTTTACTTGTCAATTCCCCCAAACCTGTGCACGTTTAGTAATATTAATTGAAAATTAAGTATTACTGCCTAGCAGCAGAAAAAAAACCCAAAACCTGTTGAATGACATGTTGAGCTTTAATGCAAGTTTTGGATTTGTCTGTCTGACTTGTTAAGAATTCTAACACAATTCTAATGAGCTTACTCAGTCATAGGCTGATTATGAAACTAAAGCTCTTGCTATGTAGATGTCCCAAATATTCTTAGTGCAGCTTCTTTTATACCTGATAGGTTGAGGAGATGGAAGCCAGGCGGCTCTTTCAGCAGATCCTGTCTGCTGTGGATTACTGTCATAGGCACATGGTTGTTCATCGAGACCTGAAACCAGAGAACGTACTCTTGGATGCACACATGAATGCCAAGATAGCCGATTTTGGTATGGAACTCCAGGGTTGTTCAGAAATGTACTGGCTGCCTTTTCAAATGTGTAACACTCCTGCGGAACTAAGAACTTTCAGTGACAGCACTACAAATCCTGTACCACGGAAAAGGATTAGTTGTAGTCTCCACACCAGCTTGTTCTGTTTATTTAAGCACACTTTAAAAAGAAATGCAGACACTTCTAGAGAAGTTAGAGGGCTAGCTAGCATCAAGGTAAAGCCATTCAATCTGCATTTCTTACTAAGGAAATGAAACTTCACTGTTTTTATGTGGACCACAAACTCCACTGAAAGTCTAATGAAAAATGGGCATTTTCTTTGATGAATGCGCTTAAACAGAGGTACCTGAAAATTTGCATGCAGGGTTAGAGCTTTATCAGCTTGAATTGATGAGGACAGTGCCAGTGGATCTCTGGGTAACATCTAACAACTTGATAAAAGAATAGGAGTTTTTGTTGGAGGTAATAGAAATGGTAAAATGTAATTTTCATGCATCAAACACTTTCCATACCTGGGAAGGATGCCATAGTGGGGTGTTTGGGAAAAGGGTTAGGAAGTGAGAGGTTATAGAAAGAGAGATGGAAGGGTGCTAGAGTTCAGCTTTGCTTATTTAAAACTTCTGTCAGTTCTTTGTCTTTGATCTAAAAACCAGGAAACTAGTTACCCTATTTCTTTTCCTGCTCTAAATCATGAAACTCATTTAGTACTATAATTCAGCTAGATTTTTGGTTCAATAGGTTATTTTTTCTATGTTCAATTAAAGCTTTCCAAATTAAAAACTTTTGGAACATAATCTTTATAAATTGGAGCCTATCTGATTTCTACTTAGAGATTTTGTTATAAATCTGAAAACATAGCCTTTTGAAAACATAGCATTAAAAAGTAATAGTCTCGGGCCGGCCGAGTGGCTCAGTTGGTTAAGAGCTCGCTGAAGAGTTTGAGCTCTGAGCAACAGCGGTTCGAGTCCAGCCCGAGCTGAGCAGCCGCTGAGCTGCCAACAGGTAGCAGGATGGCTCAGCTAAAAAANTGAGCAACAGCGGTTCGAGTCCAGCCCGAGCTGAGCAGCCGCTGAGCTGCCAACAGGTAGCAGGATGGCTCAGCTAAAAAAAAAAAAAAAAAGTAGTAGTCTCTATTTTATTCTTTCAACTGTAGAAGTTGGTAATATTTTGATGCTTTTAAATTTTATAGTTCATATAATGTAAAATTTTATAGTTCACTCATTTGTGAAGTGAATCGACATTCTTATTTAGAAAAGGAATTTAATTTCAATCATACATGTGATGTGTTTTAGCTTTTTTGTCATAATAGCTCTCTGAAGCGGTCTCTTTCTAGTCTAACAAATGCTTTCCATCGCTTTTTTTTATTTATTAAAAAACATGAGGTATAGCGCATTAAAGACTTGACATTTTTCCTCATACATTTATCTATATCTACTTTTAAAAATGTCTAGCACCAGGTAAACATTACTCTTATTTTCAGGATTATCTAATATGATGTCAGATGGTGAATTTCTGCGAACTAGTTGTGGATCTCCAAATTATGCAGCACCTGAAGTAATCTCAGGCAGGTAATTATATATCAGTAAGGAGTAGCTTTTTGTAATTTTTTGTTCATTCTGATAACATTTAATTATAATCTATTCTCTTTGGAAGGTAAGATTTTTAACACAGTAGAAAGAGTTATCCCTTTAATTTTTTTCATTGTTGAAGAGACAGTATTTATATTAAACAATTTTTTAAATATTTAATTTAGATTTTGTTATGAATGTATTTAAGGAGGTTTTCCATTAAAAATGACTGAAATAAATCATGTTTTTTTTCATTTTAGAAAAGTGCACATGAGAAAGTAAGCATTTGCTAAATTTAAGCTAGTGTCATCATTTACTTCTCAGACACGATCCTTTAATAGTGTTTTACATATTCTTTTATAAAGTATACACAGTATTTTATATTTTGTTTTTGGAAGATGAGGTTTTGGAGGCACAATATTGTCGTTTCATGAATTAAACTGCACAAGTAGCTTACTCATTGGTACATTTTTAAAATGTTTATACAGAATGCAGTGATAAACCCAAGTCTCATACAGTGAACCATATCTGATTTTCAAAGTTAACACAATTCTATGAGAGAAAAGACAGAAAAGGTACGAATTATCACAGGTAGCAGATATAGGTGTTTGGACCGTACAGCCAATGATGTAAATGATGGACAGCAATTTTTATTGAAATGGATTATATTCTTTTAATTGGAATGATAGAGACTTATTAATACTTTGTTACCTCAGACTCAGGTTTGAGTTTGGTAATGTGCTATTGGGGGAATTTTAATACTATAGATGGGTAAGAAAAAAAAGGAATAATCTTCTAGGCATAGGTTTTCTGGAGCAAAGCTAATGTTAGTACCATGAGCTAGCAAGTGATTCAAATGAAAGTAGTAAGTACTCAGGATAATGTGATACAGGGTAAATACTGTCAAAGAGATTGCCACAGGACTAGTTAGGTACTTTACAGTTTCAAATATTCTTTAAGATTGGCATGCCAGAGATGAAATGCTATTATATAGCCATTTTCTTTCTGGTAATAGTTTTATAGTAAAAAGATTTAGCCAATGCACTATATAGTATTTTTTTTCAAGTTTATAGTCATCTACTTTGATGTTTCTATCAAAAACTAACCATAGAAAGTTTTATATTTTTTAATTAGTCAATTAATAAGTTCAGTGAAATGAATTTGTGCCAAGAAAATAAAAATACCATTTTCTCTTGGAAAACTTGAATAGTAATTGGTTAGACCAGTTAATTATTCTCTATGGAGGAAAACCATTGAGTGTTGGGGCGTGGCCATAGACTTTATTAAAGACATTGACAAGCAATATATACCAAGTCCACATTATGTCTATATGGAAGCAGAGTACCTCGTAGATGAGAAAAAGTGACACTTGCGTTTCAGGTCTGTGTTTTCATCTTTTCTTTTAGGTTGTATGCAGGTCCTGAAGTTGACATCTGGAGCTGTGGTGTTATCTTATACGCTCTTCTGTGTGGCACCCTCCCATTTGATGATGAGCATGTACCTACGTTATTTAAGAAGATCCGAGGGGGTGTTTTTTATATCCCAGAATATCTCAATCGTTCTGTTGCCACACTCCTGATGCACATGCTGCAGGTTGATCCCCTGAAACGAGCAACTATCAAAGACATAAGGTGAATATTTTTTTGGTTACCGTTATGTACATAATTCTAGTATTAACAATAGTGTCACTAATTGAAAGCCTTCTTTATGCGAGGTCCTACCACTTTATACAAATTTTACTTTCCTCATTACACAAACCTGATCATGTCACTTATGTTTTAAATTTTTCAGATTGTTTCAAACTTTTTGGCTTAGGTAACCAAGCATGCAAGGCCCTTCATAGTAAGGCTCTTCTTCTGAAGTCTCGTTTCCTGCACTCACTACCACATTCCTTGTACATCAGTGCTTTAGCACGGCATTTTAGCGTGCCATTTTTCCTTGTTCCTCATACATAACATATTTTACAGCTTCATGTCTCTGTTGATACTATTCCTTTTGCCTCTGATGCCTTTTCTGCCTTTTTTGACCTGCCTGATTTCCATTCGTCCTTTCAAATTCCGCTCACATTATCACCTCCCTTGTGAAATCACTTCTGATTTTCCTAGTTAACGTTTGTTGCTTCCACTTCTGTGATTTCCACATTCTGTTCTTGCTTTTTTCATTCTTTCATTGTCATTTTGTATGTAGCTATTTCTCTTTGTGTCTTTCTCTCAAATTGTAACTAAGGAGAGAGAGAGTGTCTTACTGATGTTTGTATGTGCAGTGCTAAGAGGCCTAAGAAGATAGTATATGCTCAGAAAGTATTTGAATAAATTTCACATAGGAAAATGGGGTGAGATTTAGGTATTTTACATATGGTTGGTGAAATAAAAAATAAAAGTTTTGCTAAGATTTTGAATTCAAAAATAGCTGCTAGTGGGTTTGTGGTGAACAATTTCTTCTTTCCTGAGAAACCTTGAGAAGTGTGGTTGCTGGTGTCACCATGACTGTGACCTTTGTGCAGCACACACAGGCCAGGATGACCCAGTGCCTTCTACTTTTTACTTATCAGGTCTGTTTCCTAGAGGGCTTTTTTTTCTTATCTAACATTTCATCAAGTATTTGCCTACAAACACATTCTTTTGACATCTTTCCAGAATCCTTCTCCTTATCTTCATAAGCCAGAGTGACTACTTAGAGACCTGTGACTTGGAATATTTAAATATTTACAAGACAACTCACAAACCAGGACCAATTCCTTTCGTTTGTGTACCGTTCTTACCCTCCCGCCACCTCCTTTCTGTGTTCCAGGCCTCATGCATAAAAATGTAAATTGTAAATTAGCACCGGATTTAGTTATGGAAATTAACTTAGCAGGGAAAAACATTTTGTATTCATAATTCTTTAGAATATATAGTTCAATTAATTGACTTTTCCTTAGAAAGAAAACTAGATATACTGGTATCATATACTTGTACCTGGATTAGCACATGCATTTGGAAGAGCAGAAGTATTGACTGTTATTTTAAAACAGATGTTTGTGTCTGTACAGGCTTTAGAAGAAAAATGTAAGTACAAGTTTCCTAGGGTGAGTTAATTTATACATATGTAGGTGGTATAAAATAGTGGCATTCACTTCTGTACTTAAAATAATGTGATAACTTGAATTAGTAGTTTTCGTCACTTTCGTTTATCCAAATTCAGCTTTTTAACGTTTGGGAATTCTTGATTTGCTAAAATACAGTTCAACAGGGAAAGAATTACTAATTCTTGAACAGTTATTATATACCAGGTATTTTGCTAGATACTTGACATTGTTTATTGCATTGACTGTTAATAGGTTGCTATTATTCATCTCATTTTACTGACCATGAAACTGAAGTAGAGAAAACTTATGTTATGATTCCTTTATGTACCTGTTTGCCCCTATTAAATTTTAAGTTCCTTTAAGTTAGGGACCAAGCATTAATATGTGCCATGCATTGTATGTTTGATATGAATTAAGATTCAGAAGTGGGGCTCAACACAGAAATTGCCTGAATTCAAAATTATACTATTTCCACTAATCTGAATTGTTGTATGAGTTTTATGACATCTGTCTTTTCTCCAATATACCATAGTATTTTGTATTTCTTTTATTAGAGTCTATCTAGCAGATATTCCTCTACAGATCTTATTTTTTTATAAGATGGTAAATCGTTGGTGGTTAGAAAATATATCTCAATATCTACTCATTCATTTAATCATTTTGCTTTCATTTATTCAACAAATATTTAGCAGCTACTCTGCAAGGTCCTATGCTAGGTGCTGGGGATACAGTAGTAGACAAGACAGAGATTGTGTTCATTAAAAATCACATCTTGTATTTCCCTAAGCATCTTAAGCTAAGTATTGCTATTAATGTTATTGTAGTTAAAAGTGAAGTGTATGAAGTTCAACTAAGTATGAATCCTGATTCTTCTGTTTATTATCATCATATACTTTCTTTTTTTTGCTTTAGTTACATTATACATTGTATATTTGTTGGGAGAATAGTCTTAGGTTGAACCATATGAATTCACTATTTTTGTAGGTACTGCAAATATTCAACCTAATAGAATTAAAGCTCTTAGAAAAGTGTCCAGCACACAATGTTAGCTATTAATATTATTTTTAAGTGAATATATAAAATTAAGACTTTTTAGCTTCACTTAAAGAAGTTTGAACACATTGGGAAGTTTCTAAAATTTGATTGGTAATCTTTATAACTCTTAAGTCTTAAGTCATATATCAAAATCAGGTATCAGGTAGTGATAGAAGGACATGATTTCTGGTGGCTGTGTTGTAATCCTTGTGAAATGAATTGACAGTGTCGCAGGTGAACCCTCATAAACATCTTAGTGACTGCCTGCCTTGGTAGAGTTAATTCAGAAACTGACTCCTGAAACTCAAAAGCTGGAAGTATGGCTTTTTAATTGGCATGTTTTCTCATTATAAGCAATTATGGTCCTTTGTTTAATGAATTAGAAATAAAAATTTAGATTTATTTCCCTCCTTATTGTTTTTTAAAACATTTATTTTATTGATATAATTTACATACCACAAATGTGCCCTTTTAAGGTGTATAATTTAGTGTTTTTTAATATGTTCACAGAGTTTTACAGTCATTACCACGATCACAGCCCAGAATAGTTTCATCATCCCCAAAAGAAACTTACCCGTTAGTAGGCATTCCTCATTTCCTTTTCTTCCCAGCCCCTGGCAACCATTTATCTACTTTATTTCTGGGTTTGCCTATTCTGGGCTTTTCACGTAAATGGCATCATTCAGTGTGTGGCTTTTTGAGTCTGGCTTCTTTTACCTAGTATAATGTTTCAAGGATCTTACACGGGGTAGCAGGTATCAGTACTTCATTCTTTTTTTGCTTGAAAAATATTTCTTTGGATGGATATACTACATTTTGTTTATTCATTCATCAGTTAATGGATATTTGAGTTGTTTTCACTTTTTGACTCTTATGAATAATGTTGCTGTGATCATTCATATACAAATTTTTGTATGGTCATATGTTTTCATTTCTTTTGGGTATATATCTAGAGTTTGTAATCGTATGTTGTTGTTGCTCTTGTTTTTTTAGTGATTTCACTGAACTGATTCCATAAAGTCTGTGTTCTTTGTCATGGGTAGCCACTCACGTTTCTACTTGGTTAGCATAATGGTCAACTAATTATTAGATAGAGGCTTCCTTAGATTCCTGGATCTAATGACGCTGCCAGCTTTTGCTGTGGAATTCTGTGCATGTTGGAGTATGTCTTCAGTGCTCTGAGAAGTTCATAAATCTGCCTTAGTCTTCACTTCCTGCCAGCACTGAGCCTCAAAGTCAGCCAGTGATGAGAAATTAGGTCCTTGTGCACATAGTACTGCATGTGTGTGTGTGGCCTTCTTGAGTCCCGGAAATATAGCAGAGTATTTCAAGGACCCCTGTGGAACTCTTATTTTCTAACTTTTTTTTTTTTTTTAAGTTTTTTTGTTCAGCTTCTTGTTTGCTCCAACTCTTATTGCCACGTTAGACATCTGAGATGTTAGACAGTTGCCATTGCTTGTTTTCGACAATTATCCTGGGAAAATGCTGCAGTGAGGGAGCTCTGAGTCAGGTCAGATGAAGACAAGGCTTGCTTGTGGAGGATTCCAGGGAACTGCCAGACATGTCAAATAATGACAGTTCTGTGGGGGTAGGACTTTTGGAGGACACTAAACCTATTCTCCCCATCTTCCCCCCAGTGATTGTTGGGCTGCTGGCTTCCTGGCCTACCATGATTGTGAGGCTCTTGGTTTTCAAGACTACTGTAGACATGGGGAAAGGTAGATGGACATAGGGCAACTTAAACCATTATAAATCTTGCTGTTCTTCCTGCGATTTGGCCTTTTTTTTTTTTTTTTTTAATAAACGTTTCTCAGATTGTTGTAAGCCTTTGGTTGAATTCCGGAGTTCTGAAAACGTTGATTTTGACAATTTTTGCTGTTAATCTCATTTCTTCTATGGGAGAGTGAATTTTTGGAGTTCATTCAAAAGTGTTCATCTTCCCTATTTATCATTGATTTTTTAAAATGTTAGACATCTAATATAATTTCTTCTATTATTTCTTTTGAAAAATTAATATTATCAGTCATTTTTATTAAACATTTATTAGATACTTATTATTATCTTGATATAGTAAATAAACACATTGATGGATTCATTTTTGTCTTCTTACTTCATGTGTCCATTCATCATTTATTTATTCTGCATTTATTGAGTATTTACTAGGTACTGGAGTAGAGCTAAATAAGACATGGTCCCTATTTCAAGGAGCTCCCAGTTTTGTGGAGAAGATTAAAAATCAACAACTGTAAAAAAGTGGGAATGTTATAATAGAAAAATCTAGAAGCTGTAGAAGTTTCATCTTTGTATACCCTCAGGCCTTGGCACACCATTATTTCTCACTCGGACCATTGCAGTAGTGTTATCATCATTATTATCATTTTTTATCTTTTCAATTCAATTTCTGTATCACAAGCAGAACAATCTTTACAGAATGCAAATTAGATCATGCCACCCCGTCCTTTTAAAAAATTTCATTAATCATAGATTCAAATCCCAAAACCATTTTTATAGCCTACTGCTGTCAGAAATATCTGATGTCTTTGCCACTCTAACGCATAACTCATTAATTATGCTTTCCTGATGGTGGGTTGAGTTCAGTTCTTTGAACATGGCAAAACTCTTTCATGTCTCAGAGTCTTTGCATACATTGTTTCTTTTGTTGGGAGTACTTGTTTCTCAACTCTGCTTAGATGACTTGTAATCATTGTGTTATCTGCTTAAATATTACTGAGTTGCTTCCCTAATCACCTGCCTCTCATTCTGAATTATATACTCTCGTTTTACCCTATTGTCCACTCAGAATCTTTATCACAGGATTTTCATGTTTATATATTTGTAACTACACTATATATTTGTTTTTGTGAGTAACCATGTATTTTTGTATTTGTTTAATCTTTATCCAGCTACAATATAATCTCTGTGAGGTGAAGGAATGTATATTTTTTGACATAATGTGCCCTTAGTAAATATTCATAAATTAATGAATCAGTTAATAGAAGGCATCCAGACAAAATATATTATTGATCTGGATTTAAGCTTAGAGAGTGCTCCATTCCCTTATGTAGTATTGCTGACACAATTCTGAAGGAATAGTACATGTTGAGTGAAAAGGGGTGTGATAGTCTAGGGGGGCAATAGTAGCATCATGCATAAAGGCTCAGAAGTGTAAGAAAATGGAGGAGCCTGGTTCTTGAACTCTTGGTTTACTTCCCCTTCACACTTTTAAAGTTGAGGTCTCCAAAAAGGCTTTTTTTTTTTTTAAATGCAGGTATAACTGTAAATATTTACCATATTAGAAATTAAAACTGAGACATTTAAAAAATATATTTAATTAACTTGAAAATAATAATAAACCTAATTAGCATCTTTTATGAAAAATAACCTTATTTTCCCAAACAAAAAAATTGGTGACCAGAGTGGCATTATTTTACAGTTTTCAAATCCTCTTAGTGTTTGGCTTAATCAGAGATAGCAGCTAGGCTCTCATATCTACTTCTTGATTCAGTCTGTTGCCATATGTTGTATTAGTTGAAGTCTATGGACAAAATCTGACCTCACTCATGTAAGGGGTTGGAAAAGTGATAAATGTTTTAATAGCATTTCAGATAGTTGTGCATATTTTCTTTGATACTAAACCAAACCTTAACATGTTAGTTGTGTTATCAAACAGAAAATGTATCAATTAACCATTGTACTTTAATAAAATCCACTGCTCTGTTTTGCCTTTTGAGTGGAACTTTTTTTTACCCATGTATAATTCTGCAATATCATGCGTTGGTCATTTGGAAAATACTGGGTTATTGAGTTAGAGAGATTTTCCAAATGGTAACACATTTTATTATAACAGTATCAAAAATCATATTTATTATGATCATCACTACAAAGTTATCAGAAAAGTCTTTAAGTATTGGGAACCTGTCAAGCTCATGGAGACAGATATAAATTACACATAATTCTAAAATTTTGCTTGAAATCTTGAATTTTATTATTGGCATCAAATACCTCCAGTTTTTTCCTTTGAAGTGACAGGCTCATTTTGTTTATTTTAAAGAAAATGTTAACCAAATACCCAGGTCTGAATACCCATAGTTACTCAAGCATAAGGGTTAATTAATTTACCCAGAGTCACATAACTAGTAAGTGACTTGAGAGCAGACTTTTCTGATTCTGTTATATTGTATTGCCCCACATCTAAATTATCGGGGACTTGCCAAAGCATGTTCTTACAATAGTGTATTGTGGTATTTTTCCTAGAGAACATGAATGGTTTAAACAAGATTTGCCCAGTTACTTATTTCCTGAAGACCCCTCCTATGATGCTAACGTCATTGATGATGAGGCTGTGAAAGAAGTGTGTGAGAAGTTTGAATGCACAGAATCTGAAGTCATGAACAGTTTATATAGTGGCGACCCTCAAGACCAGCTTGCCGTGGCTTATCATCTTATCATTGACAATCGGAGAATAATGAACCAGGCCAGTGAGTTCTACCTCGCCTCCAGTCCCCCAACTGGTTCTTTTATGGATGATAGTGCCATGCATATTCCCCCAGGCCTGAAACCTCACCCGGAAAGGATGCCACCTCTTATAGCAGACAGCCCTAAAGCAAGATGCCCATTGGATGCTCTGAATACGACTAAACCCAAATCTTTAGCTGTAAAAAAAGCCAAGTGGCATCTTGGAATTCGAAGTCAAAGCAAACCATATGACATTATGGCTGAAGTTTACCGAGCTATGAAACAGCTGGATTTTGAATGGAAGGTAGGAAATTGTATATTAAGTCATTTGTAGGAGCCGTTTTTTTAATGTAGTAAGCTACTCTGAGCTGCTGAGTTGAGTACTGTTGTCAATAAAAAGATTGTTTTTGATTTAGATAGAAATCTAGTAGTCTTGATGCTTCTGGCTGATAAACCCCATTCTTTGCAATAATATACCACTTGTGGCCCGGGCCGGCCGAGTGGCTCAGTTGGTTAAGAGCTTGCTCAAGAATTTGAGCTCTGAGCAACAGCGGTTCGATGCCTGGCCCGAGCTAAGCTGCTGCTGAGCTGCCAACAGGTGGCGGAATGGCTCAGCTAAAAAAAAAAAATTAAAATAATATACCATGTGCATTCAAAACAAAACAAGTAAACCTCTTTAAGGAAGAAGAGTGTTGATGCTGGGAACCTACATATTTTTGAATTACAAAATAGCATTTTTGGCAGAGAAACAAAAAGTAATCAACCTGAGAAAATAGTCTTCCTGTTTCAGCATTCATTATAGCAATAAAAAGTTGTGCATCTTAAAAGGTAGTATGTTTTTACTTTTCTCTCTCATTTTTTAGGGAGTGTTTTCTTTTTTTTCCCCTTTTGTTTCCTCTTTGTCAGTAGCTGTAGCAGCTAGTGGTCAATACAAATTATACCATCAGGATATATTTACTCAGTCAACAAATACTTTTCTCTAAGTTGAGAAAAATCTTTCTTATTTGGCTGGTGTTTTTAATCCTTAGTTATGGCATATTTTTCTTACTCTCAGTCCACATTTTACTTTTTTTTATTAGTGCTCAAACTCATTTAAAATCTATTTGAGTATATGTTGTGGGGGGGCATTTTGTCATTTCAAGTATTTCTGTAACTTGTTCCTTTCTTGAGGACTATGAATGTATTTTTAAAGATAGAAGAAAAACGTTCAAACATACCATGTAAATGTTCACTTGACATGTTTGGATAAATCAGTGATTTTCATTATTATTTGTACATGAAATGCATAAGTAAAATATTTTATTAAAACCATTTAAAACAGTTCTATTTTCTGAAGCAGTTTGATTTAATTAAAAAAAGGGATCTTAATATCTTTAACATTCCTTACTGAAAAATTTTTGGAACTAATTTGATAGCTGTTTTGCAAACCCAGAATCATCTTTATCTGAGTTGTAGGTTTCTTATCTTCAAAAGGCACATATCTTTCTCACAGGATTATTGTAATACTTAAATTTTGTGACTCTACCTGTTAATAGTGCTTGATGCAAACCATCAGCATGTTAATTATCCTTTATTCCTTCCTACTCCATATTCATAGGTAAACAATTCAAGTTGAGGCTGGGTAACCAAAATTATTATTGATGTTTTAGAGTGAGGCCTTAGAATGAAGGCTAGATGCTATACTAGTATAATCTCTGAGCTCCCTGCAAATTTTAATTGCTATACACAAACAGTACTGTTAGTGGGGATTAAATAAATACTAAACTACCATGTTATTAATATAAAACAAGGATCATTCAGGAATTTCTTCTCTGCCCCACCTCTATCCGTTATTTGTATTGATATTCTTTGCAAAAAGGATAGTTTGTTATTTGTAACATTTTTCCTTATAGAAGATTTCTCGTTTTAGGTAGTGAATGCATACCATCTTCGTGTAAGAAGAAAAAACCCAGTGACTGGCAACTATGTGAAAATGAGCTTACAGCTTTACCTGGTTGACAATAGAAGCTATCTTTTGGACTTTAAAAGCATTGATGGTAAGGAAGCTATGCAGGCATGAGCTCTGAGAAGATAAAACTTGACACTAGTTGACAAGATGTTAAAATCATTTCAAAGACGTGGTGGGTAGGTCTTATGTACTGGTTTTAAGTAACCTAGATTTAGTAAGTAAAATAAAAAGGACCAGAGACGTGTAGAATCCCCCTAATCCAGCACCTCCCGAAAAGAAGTGCTTCCTTGGCATAAAAAAGTCATTTGAAGTGTTGGCTGTGGGGCAAAAAACAGGGAAGCAATTTTTACCTAAAAGATCTGATGTTGTCAGGTTGTCACATTTCGTCATTCATATTTATTACTGTTAGCGTTATATGATCCAAACTTCCCTGTTCATCTACTCACCTCATCCTGGTTGGCCACGTTGACCCAATAGGCCTCTCCTGGGATTTAGGTAGGATTGCAGTGTCCATGGCCATCGAGGAATCAGGGGAGGCCATCCTGTCCAGGTACTTACTGTGCTGAGAGTTAAACTGGGTGAACCAGGTGTGCTTATTCCATTCAGAGACCTATGTGGGATAAAAAGAGAATAAACTGAGGGTCAGGTGCTGGATGGAACAAGAATAGAACTGAGTTCAGGTATAAGGAAGTAGATTTAAACAGAGCTTTACAATTTTATTCTTGAACCACCATCAGCTATAGCATTGTTTATGTGGTCCCCAGACCACCTTCATCAAAATTATGCATAGTTCTTTATTAAAATGAAGATTCTTGGGAACTACCTACCCCCAGACCTGCTAAATCAGGATCTCTGGAGACGGGCCCTGGGAGACAGGGAATCTACGTTTCTAACAAGATCCCTCCCCCCCACACCCCCCTCAATTTTAGTGTGCACTGAATTTCAGAACCACTGTGTATTGGTAACTTATCTTTATCTGAGTGATTATTTATTGGTATTCTGTAAGAAAATAAGCCTTCAAGGATGTGCTGTTTTCATATGCAGGGATATCAGTTTGATTTCAAGGTTAATGCTGAATCTTATGTTGGGAAGGATTTATGGGTCACATTTGACTGTGGAAATGTTGTGATTAATTAGTGATATCTTTTATGATTGTGGAGGGAAGAGGTAGTATTGTCTCCCTGCTCCTAAGGCATTGCATTACAAATATGACATTCATTATTAAGTTGTCTTTGCTCAGATATGTTTATTTACCATTCTGAATACAGCAGCTTCTTAGGAAGGGCTGGGCCCATACGCCTTTCAGATCAACTGCTCTTCTCTGGTCCGTTTCAGATGAAGTGGTGGAGCAGAGGTCTGGCTCCTCGACACCTCAGCGCTCCTGCTCTGCTGCTGGCTTACATAGACCGAGATCAAGCTTTGATTCTGTGACTGCGGAGAGCCATTCGCTCTCCAGCTCCCTCACTGGCTCCCTGACCGGAAGCACCTTGTCTTCAGTTACACCTCGCCTGGGCAGTCACACCATGGATTTTTTTGAAATGTGTGCCAGTCTGATCACTACTTTAGCCCGTTGATGACCTGTCCCTAGTTTATATCTTTCTGTAATTGCACTGTGAAAATCAGATATATTCTTTAAATTATGGTTTTTATTTATGCATATCGCATCCTCTAAAATGCTGATTGACAGACATGAATATGCCAGGGGATACTCAATGCCATTGAAATTACTGAACAAAAAAGTCGGACATTTTATTTACCTGTAGAAATCTGTAGTTCTATTTTGTCTGTGATAAAATCACATACGCAGACGCTTGAGGAGGTGAACACTGATGAAGATGGTGAATTTAAAGTTGTGAGTTCACTCCAGATGATCAATACACTTCCATTGGGAACCATCTCAATCAGTGGGGGTGGGGGGGAAAGGGGGATTTGATGACACTTTCTTGCTTTACTCTTTAGTGTAGGGAAATTCAGTTTACTTCCTAAAAATTTCAGAGGCTGTAAGATGTGTTTTTGCATCCAATTCTTTTGCACAAGAAGATTAAAACAATCAAACAACCATTAGTAAGATAGTATTTAAATGGTGAAATCTTAAAAGCCTGCCCCAGAATTTCAGAAGCCAAATTCTTCTAGTAGTTTTTGCCTACTCAGAGTATAATCTCTAGTGTTTAATAGAAGGGCTGTGGTCCTGAAACAGGTAACAATTTCCTGGTTCCTTAAAAACAGCTGTAACCAACTAGAGGTTTTATCTTGAGATTTCTGTGAATAATATTTTAAGAGCCTTCAAGGTTCTACTCAGTATTGGGACATCTGGAATTGCAACAACTTTTGTCTCTTTCATAAACTTATATCATTTTTTAAAACACGCCTTTGAAACTTACCATTCTCAAATTCTTTTTGGCTCTTTTATTTTTGTACTTCACCAAGCATGATGAAATAGACAGTTACATGAAACAAAGCAAAGTATCAACAGCCCCTTTCTTAAAAGAGAATGCCTATCTTTGACCTCTTATTGTGTGTGGTGGTAGCGAGAGAGAGAGAGAGAGAGAGAGAGAGAGAGAGAGAGAGAGAGAGAGAGAGAGA